AATTATTATCTTGGGGACCACAAAGTCTGTAAAGTTGAAATTTTAGTGTAATGACCCCTGCCCACGCTTAACCTTGCCTATTCAAATTTAGCTTTCCCGCGCTCTCGGGTGTCACCTACGGCCTCGTAAAAATTTTGGAGGGTACACCGGGAATCACGGAAAGATATTCACCCTTCAGTGTTTCGAATTCAGCTTTCATGCGCATGTGCATGAAATTTCTAAATATTTTTCAGTGTTCCAACTATTTTTGCACAGAATAAACTACAACGCAGTGAAAATAATAGGCAATCGTTCGATGAGCTGAACTGCACAAAACGCATGACTGCACCGGCTAATCTGGTGCGCGTTGCTATTTATTTTTCAATAGATGCGCATTTATGTTGACGGGGAACACTATACTAAAATTTCAACCGCCTAGCTTTTGTGGTTCTAGAGTTGAAAGTGCGGGACAAAATGTGGCACACACACACACACACACACACACACACACACACAGTCAACCCCGTGACAATATGCGTTTTGTACTGCTGTTACACAGCACAAAACGCATAAAAAGAAAGGCCAATTTGGTGTAATGCATTGTTAGTTGCAGGTATGTGGTGGTGATGTGGAACTTAGCATCTGGCATCTTGGCTCTCGTTCACTGGCCTCAGTTTTGTCATGTGGACGGCCACCTCATTTCCGTCATATTGTTGCAAAAATGAACGGTGAACGAATTTTAGCAGGAGGGAGCAGTGACAGTGTAATGCAGGTTAGCAACTCATGATTCGCCCCTTCTATAAGTACTTGGAGCTTCTGCTGTCATTGTGCGCCAGTCTGTTCAGAGCTGGCTGCCGTCATCAGTTTGATGTCGAAAATGTAAGGGGTGGAAGAGGACTTTTGATTTTTTTAACCTGCAGTTTTGAATATCCTAGTCGGCCCCCTGCACATTATTATTACGCACGAAAGAATGGAATTGAGGGGTGCAAAAAACTGGGCAAAGAAATTTTCAAGAATATTGTTTTCATTTTAAGGATTATACAAGTTCCTAAAAAATATTTTCGGCGCCATCGTAAAATGCAGGATTGGAGTCATTTGGATTAATAAAATGCTCAAGTGTTTCTTCATTATTCGCAACTTCTTCCTTGCGGTCCTTATATATTGTTTTTAGTTCGATTACACAGGACAGCACGTAACGTCGGTAAAAACACCGCTGTCTTCCATATATTCCATTCAGACGAATTTGTCAATACCGAATGGAATGACAGCTGTTGCGGGCGACTCACCGCTGATCAGTATCTTCCTAAATCTCGGCTACGTTGCGTTCAATTTTTCAGCTGCATCAGATCATACTGTGCCGCAGTAACTCTTGTTAAAGTTTATTTACCAATATTCACTCGTTTTTTCACACTGTTACATCTTCCGTGCTGTGATTGTTTATTGTTGGTAATGCCGGTTCCCACCTACTCAGATAATAGAAATGGATAGCTGTCGCATAGAATCAGCTTTTAGTTTTCATGCACGACCCAGGCTGGAACGCACCATGTGGGCCGGTGCGGTTATGCGTTTTTGCACTTTTCGTGCTGTAGCAAGATCGCAAGGAATCAAAGTAGCTAACCCTATGAAATACTGGCCCTCGAAGTTTGGGAAGTTAATTGTGCAGTTACATGATATGTCAGTTGTAGGTGTCGACTTCAGTGACCCGACAAATGGAAAGTTGCTGGTCCGCAAAAAGCCACGCTAGAAGAGTTGAATTTAAAATCTTTTAGTCGCACATGAGCAGGGAATATACTCTTAAAATTAAAGCCTTCAGCTTTTCCCGTTCCCGAGGTAGCAGTTTTCCCATCAAAATTTTCACGTGTCCGTACGTGAGTGTTGAACAGTTCTAAGGAGCTAAATTTGAAATCGTTTAATCGTACATGAGTGGGGGACATTCCCCTAAAGTTTCAGCTTTCTAGATTTTCTCGCTCCCGGACTAGTGATTTTCCCGCCAAAATTCCCGTGTGCCCGTATGTGGGCCCTGGGCGCTTCTAAACGCCTGATTTCGGTCATACGTGAGTATGGAACACTCCCCTAAAGTTTCAGCTTTCTGGGTTTTTTCGTTTCCGAGTTAGTGATTTTCCCGCCAAAATTTCCATGCGCCCGTACGCCGCTACCGGGCCCTCCAAACAGCTGATTTTGTTAGTACATGAGTAGGAAAAATTCCCCTAAAATTTCAGCTCTCTAGCTTTTCTCTTTCCCGAGTTGGGAATTTTCTCGCCATAATTTTCACGTGCCCGTACGTAAGCTCCGGCAGTCCTGGGCAGCTGAATTTGAAATCTTTTTGTCATATACGGGTAGGGAACATTGCCCTAAGATTTCAGCTTTGTAGCTTTTCTCATTCCCGAGTTAGCACTTTTCCCGTCAAAATTTTCATAAGTTCGTACGCGGGACCCAGACGTACGTGAGGGTTGATACCGCGGTCCTGGGGTGGCATTTGGCTGGGGAACACACCGGCGAAATTTCAGCTTCAAAGCTTGCGTGCCTTTCAAGTTGAAATACCCGAACAGACGAACACACACACTGACAGGGCCGATGCAATATGCGTTTTTGCTGCCTGTTGCGGCGCTCTAGCGCTGCACGGCAAAAACGCATAATCGTCGCTTATACGCTCCTAGATCAAAGTTTCATATTTCTATCTTCTTTGTTTTCCGAAATCGTCTCCTGTTTTCTTTCGTGGAAAACGTTTTCGGAAATTAAACAAAATGGAAGGGCGAAACTTTAAAAGGATGTTCTCTATCCATATATGAGCTAAAGATTTCAAACTCAGCTATCACACACCTATTTACCGTGCATATGGCCACGTCAAAATTTACAATTGGCATTTCCTCAACCCAAAAACTAGCTATAAAGCAGTAGCTGAAATATCTTCAGAATATTTATAATCTATATGGAAAATCATATACCTAAATTGAGAATCGATTTGCACTTACACCAAGAACTAGGGCGCTTTAAAGATATTTGTAGCGATGTGGAAATAACCACAGACAGGCTACAAAGCTGAAACCACAGAGATATTCTATATCCAAACATAGTGTTAAATCAGCTTGGAGATAAAATCCCTTTCACGCGGACATAACAAATATCGAGTTTTATCGCCGACTCAAAATCGAGTGCATTTTGTGAATTTTTTAATCTTTTGCCGCCCTCTTTCAAATCTACACTCCTTTAATAAATCACTGGTGATGCGCACCAGGCGGGCCCGTGCAGTTATACGTTTTTATGCGTTTTTTGCAGCTGTGCAATGCGGGAAACGCATATTGACGAAAGGTTGTCTGTGTGTGTTTGTATGTGTGTCTGTTTGAGCGCTGCGCGTCTGTACCGATTTTTCATCTCGAGACCTACAAGAGCTACAGGGCTGAAACTTTAGGGACTCAATCTACATGCACGTGTGGGCCCCCTTCCCCAAAATGAGCGGTCTTGCCCGCGTGGCACCCACGTAAGAGCCCGCCAAAGTTTTTTACGGGTAAATTGCTAACTCGCGAATCAGAACAGCTAGAAAGTTGAAATTTTAAGAGGATGATCCTCATCCACATAAGTCTAAATGAGCTAAACCCAGCTCCCTGGCAAGCGTGATACCCACGTACCGGCCTGCCAAACTTTTTTTCAGGTATGTTGATAACTCACGAACCAAAAAAACTAGAAAGCTGAAATTTTAATGAAATGTTTCCCGTCCAAGTTGGTGTTAATTAGCTCAAACTCATCCCTCCCGGTAAGTATGGTACCCGCGTACGGGCTTGCCAAGATTTTTTTCGAGTAAGTTCATAACTCGTGGACCTGAGAAGCTGGAAATCTGAAGTCTTAAGGGAATGTTTCCCGTCCAAGTAAATGTTAATGAACTCAAACCCATCTCCCGAGTAGGCGTGGCACCCGCGTATGGGCCCGTGAAAGTTTTTTTCCATTAAGTTGCTAACTCAGAAGCCAGGAAAGCTAGAAAGCTGAAATTTTAAGGGAGTGTTTCCTGACTACTCTGGCGGTCAGTCTTAATTTGTTCAGCTAGAAGCACTACCAAGGGGGCGGAAAAGTGGGAAAATTTGATGCTTAGAAAGAGAGAGGGGAGGGGAAGACATTTGTACATCCACTAACCGCCGCTCACCCCTCCACGCACCCCCCACCACCACGGCTGCCCCTCTACTACTCCGCCTTCCCACCAGCCAAGCCATACAGCCGCTGCGGCCTGGGTATGTTGTTCTGCTTTTCTGGCAGGCTGCGAAACGATCTCGGTGAGCGGCGCCACGAAACACTGTTGCCAGAGAGACAGAGGGCTTCCCAAGCCCCAACGACCACCAGCCGAGCCGAGCTGAGTTGTAGTAGTTGCCCGCTTTTGCAGAGTACACCGAGCAGTAATTCTCACCTCCATCACGTGGGAGCACTATTCACAGTCCACCCTATTACAGCAAGTGCAGCCACAAATCCCGTCCACATGAGGTCTCTATCTGGCTCAAAAAGAATTCAGTCGCGCGTCGTACGCAGCTTCCGATACAGAAAGGGAAACAGTGCATTGTCTTCGCTCGTATAACACCTATCCGCTATTTTTGTTTATGACCAGTAATACATCTCGATCGTGTATTGGCATCCTTACAGAAGCGTATTTGTCCAGATGTGTGGGGTCTGCTTCCTCAACCTCGCGAAGTTGCTAAAATTTCGGCAATTACTAAAACTCGGCTCGGCTCGGCTCGGCACGGCTCGGCTCGGCTCGGCTCG